AGCCTGGTCACAGTCCTCAGCTACAACACAGAGCTGTGCAGCGTGCTTCTCGATGACCTTTGCACCTTCATGGAGTCCACGTGTGAGCCCACCATGAGCCAATGACTTCCTCAGCACAAGTTGCAGTGCGGTCAGAAGGTCCATGGGTTCGCCTAGAGCTGCAGCAGCAGCAACAGGTTCGGCAGCTGGAACAACCACCTCTTCTTCTCTGTACAATCAATAAAATGAAGTAATATTAAACACGCTGCCATACCACACATGACACACCAACATATATCAAGTATCAAACTGAGAAATAAAGAACGCGTATGATAGACTGCCATATCCCACTATCGGACTGTCCAGTAAGTGAAAACAAGTATGGAGTAGAAACACAAAATCTAAAACATACAACTGAATTAAGCCTTCACACGCTCATCCATGACATTCCCACAGTCGAAACCAAAAGGCTGCTATAGACATTAACTAGAATTCAGAAGTTCGCTACGGATTCTGAAAATTTGGATTCCTAATCCAACAGCTCTCACATAACTAGACTAATATCGTGTCCTCTTGCTTTAATCAAATCGGCAAAAGGAGGTTCACCAGTACAATAGATAAACCTACACTAATGCTTGGGCCAAGCAATCGGGAACAAGCTTTGATCTCTAACAACCTTTGCATCCTACATTTTAACAAAAGGAAACTAATGAAAAGGCTTGAAAACTTTGAGTTTTAATGGTAAGGACAAAATAAAGGTAATATGAATAGAACCAGGATTGACGTTTTAGTGTAAAAATGTGGTTTTTTATTAAAATGAACAGTACTGGAGTTTTTCGTTAAAGTTTTCAATAATAAATTTACGCTAGTGCTCAGGACAAGCAATCGGAAACAAACTTTGATCTCTAAAAGTATTTGCATCCTCCATTATAGCATACATTCGATATTTACAGCGAAAAACAAGTACAGAGAATTGGAAATACAAATGACTACATACCCTGACATTTTTTGGGGCCGATAGAAATTACAAACCCTGGTAACACGAAATCAACAAAAGCGATGTCAGCCGGATAAAATATTTCAGTAAAATATACAATTACCAAACCTACAAGCTCTGTCACTGAAATCTATACAAATCTTACAACAATGCCAGTAAAAACCTGCAAAACAATATCACAAACCCTAAGATATGAAAATGTTACTTCGAATTGGGGGATAAATTTGTTGCTTTCGTGAAAAAGCACAGAACTCAAATTGCCCATCAGGGGATTTTCAGATCTCAAATTTTAGGGATTTTCAGATTGTAGGGATTTTAGGGATTTCCATTCACTTAGGGATGAAATGTGATCGGAAACATAGAGAGATAAACACTAACCTTGATAATGGAGGTGGCGGAGACGCACAGCTGCGAGGGAGGCGGCAAGACAAGTGAATGGAAGACGACGGCGAGCGTTCAAAGTTCGGAGCTTTATATCGAAAGAACCCTAAAACCCCTACCCTGAAGTTACTATTCTACCCCTCATTTGAGGACTTCATCACCGACTTCACGATCCTCCGATCTCTCTCATTCCAAATCCAAACTTATAAATCCCCAAATTCGACAGGTTTGTCTCCCCATTCCTGTAATTTTCCCTCCGAAATCTTCAATCTTGAAACCCTAATTTCCCAATCCGCAAATCACTTTCACCAGCAAGGTCACGATGCATCCCAAATTTCAAAATTTCCAAATCTTCCTCCAATCTCCCGATCTGCAAATACCAACCCAAACCCTAACCCTATCCCCAATTCAGACCCCAACACTCCGCCACCTCAAGCTCTCAATTTTCTCCCATGCCCTGCCATCGCTTTACTTCACCCTCAATGGTAAGCCCCTAAACGACTCCACTCCGCTTCTCGATTCTCAAATTACCCCGCTTTCTACTCTAATTTTACGGATTAGAGCTCTTGGAGGCGGCGGCGATGGCGGCGCGACGGGGGCAGAGTCTCGCGACTGCTATCTCAAAATGTACGCGGAGAAGAAGCCTGATAAGGTCGACCCGAACGAGCAGAGGCTTTCGAAGTGGCTCAATTGCGCGCTGTCGAACGAGCCATTGAAGGAGCCGTGCGTGATGGATTTTCTGGGGAATGTTTTTAACAAGGAGGCTCTTGTGGAGGCGTTGCTGGGGAAGAAGGTGCCCAAGGCGTTTGGGCATATAAAGGGGTTGAAGGACATGATCAGTATTCATCTTACCCCAATTACCGGGGCTGAATTCAATCGCCAATCGGTTGCCGGGCCGCGGTTTCAGTGCCCCATTACCGGGGTCGAGTTCAATGGTAAGTGTAAGTTTGTGGGATTAAAAACTTGCGGGCATGTGTTGAGTTCAAAGGCTATGAAGGAGATAAAGTCGTCGACTTGCCTTGTTTGTCATGTGGGATGTTCGGAGGCGGATAAGATTGTGATTAATGGGAATGAAGAGGAAGTTGCGGAGTTGAGGGAGAGGATGGAGGCCGAGAAGGCGAAAGGGAGAGTGAAGAAGGTGAAGAAGACCAAAAACGGGGATTCTGGTGTGAATGGAGAGGAAGAAGGTGTGGGTTTGGAGGCCTCCCGGTTGAGTGGTACCAAGCATGGCATTGATGCTAAGGCTGTGCAGAAGGCTTCGGCAAAGGTAGAGGTAAATGGGAAGGGTGTGAATGGTGGGGCTAATGTGAAGGATGCAAGTAATGGTGGGGCGAAGAGGTTCAAGGCGGTGGATATGGCCCCTGCTAATGCTACTAAGGAAGTATATGCGTCCATCTTCACGTCGTCAAGGAAGAAGGACTTCAAGGAAACATATTCTTGCAGATCTCTCCCACTCGGTAGAAACTGATTGATGGTAAGGTCTAAGAGAAAGGAATACTGTCTTATTTGTAATGTGAACAAACATATCATTATGAAGACACTTAGACTTGTTATACACTCTCGTTTGGTATCTTGTTACTTGATAGCGAACATTATTTCCTTGTTGTACAATAACGTTTGTGAAAATGGTAATGGTTCAAATTTTACAGATGCTAATATCAAGGTCCATACGTCACATTATTACTTTTCGGAACCTTTGTTCTTATATTGGTAGGATTCCGATATTGGTAGGATCGTGCTATGCTTTTGTTATTCCTGTAGCTGTAGTATGTAAAGATTTGTATGTTCAAATAGTGTGATCTACCTGAACCCAAATTGTGTTCTGTTTTGGAACCGAAGCATTTAGAAATTGAAGAGTTCCTGAGCTGTTCCTGTAAGATCCCACATTGCCGAGGGGAGTGATCCTTATATGTATATTCTCATCCCTACCTAGCACGAGGCATTTTGGGAGCTCACTGGCTTTTGGTTCCATCGGAACTCCGAAGTTAAGCGAGTTTGCGCAAGATCAATCCCATGATGGGACTTGCGCAAGATCAATCCCATGATGGGTGACCCACTGGGAAGTTGCTCGTGAGTTCTTAGAAACAAAAACCGTGAGGGCGTGATCGGGCCCAAAGCGGACAATATCGTGCTACGGTGGTGGAGCGGGTCCGGAATGTGGTGGACCCCGGGCCGGGATGTGACAGTTCCACGCTGCACCACTTTGCGCCCTTGCTTCCCATGGTAAATGCAATCAATTGTTGGCCATTTGGGCTGATGGAACTTGGGAGGAGCCTGGAATGAAGTTCATTATAGTGTCTCAGCTGCAAAACTTATAGCGGTCTGTCTTCCGCACTGAGTGAACATTCTTTGGCTTGTTAATAACAACTCTTTTTAGTGACCCCTGAGAAGAAAGTAACACGAGGGCCGACCTTCTGGTTTAGTTTGCAGAGGATAAAAGTATCAGTTCTTCCTTAGACAGGGTGAGGTTTTACTTGAGATTGTGAGCATGTCAGCCAAGTGTTTATCTTTTGTTGCCAAATTTTCGTTTCAGATGAGGAGAAAATCTGCGAATTTCAATTACTAATGATTAATGAAATAGTCTGTTATTCTATTTGGCTTTTCAAAACACAGAACAAAAAGAAAGGTCGGTCTATCGGCCTTTCAATCACCATCTCAGAACCAAATTTTCTTCCCCATCCACGGATTAGATGCCATTGACTGCAGGTTACATGCTCAGATTTTCATAGAAAGCGATAATTTTTACCTCGTTAGAATTTAATGCCGTCTTCAATTTTGGGCTAAATTTTTTTAAATTTTATTCCGAACTACATATACTTTTAATTTGTGCCGATGTCCCTTGACTTTAGTTTACTCGTGTGCAATAGTACAAGTTACTACTAAAATTGGAAAAAAAGTTAACGGCCTGAAAGACATGGAAACGAATTGAGAGGTTAATGGGACTCGAGTAGAACCTACACCACGAGCTTTCTTGGTCCCTCGGCACGGTTGAGATTCCAGAGTGCATCACGAGCACAAACAAAGGGCGCGATTGAGCATCTCATCGGAGGGAAAGTGAAATAAGGTCCACAATTCATGGGACATTGTTGCAAAGGGGCGATTGAGCATCTCACCGGAGGGCAAAGTAAAACGAGGTCCGCAACTCACAGGACATTGTTAAAAGGTGAAAAGAAAAATAGAAAACTAATGAAAGGTTTGAATTTTAATAATAAAGATAAAATAAAGAGATTTGGATTCTCATAAGATCCTGGATCCTAAGGATCAACATACATGGATCATTGATAAAAAATCATGCGGTCTCAATTAAAAGTTTTTCATATTTTTAAAGTAAAACAGTCTCATTTTGCGTGAAAAATATAAAAAATGAAAAAATTACGGCCGCACGATTTTTGATCAACAATCCACGTGCATTGATCCCTAGGACCCTAGGATTCCTAGTGATGGGATCCGGCGAGGATCCAAATTCAAAATAAAGGGTAAAATAAATAGTATTATGATTGATATTTTAGTATAAAAATATGATTTTTTGTTAAAATAAACAATACTGTTTTTTTGTTAAAATAAATTGTACCAGAAATTTTTCGTCCGAAAGAAAAAAGGCTCCGAGAAATGTTGTGTATTTAAGAACCCACCTCCCGAGGGATTACTGGTTCATCGTCACCAACCTCACTAGCTATTCCTTGCTGTTACAATGTGAGCAAGGGAGGCTTACAGCGATTTCTCTCACCTCACCAAAACGACTTTAAAAACAAAACCATTTTATTTTTAGCTTTCCATTCCCTTTTTCTATAAAATAACCATCTCCCTTTTCCATCAAAACCCTCGTTTTTTCTCCCCCAAAACCCCCTAATTTTCCCGAGAAAATAATCGATTTCTCGGAGAAAATCCCCCCCCCCTCCATCTTGTTGCCCGCCCGTCCCGACCCGTCATTTCTCAATCCGAAAACGAGAAGAGAATTCCGGAGTCGTTGATTCTTGAGGTGAGTTATCGTACCTTTGATTTCTGGTATGATTTCTAGGTTTTGGATGATTGGATACATGGGTTTTGATAAAGTATGAATTTTGAGATGTGGGTTGTTCTTGTGTCCTGATATGGGTTGTGGGTTTCTTGGTTTTGCAGATTCTATGGTTTTTGCTCTTTTGGGTCTTGTTATTTGCTTCAATTTGTGTTGTTATTGCCCGAAGAAAATGTCTAGTTTTCCGAATAGAGATTCGATTCACATTAGGGAAGTTTGGAGCGATAATCTTGAGGAGGAGTTTAAATTGATTCGCAAAGTTGTAGAGGAATACCGATATGTAGCAATGGACACAGAGTTTCCCGGTATTGTTTTGAGGCCTGTAGGGACTTTCAAGGACAGTTATGATTATCACTATCAAACCCTTAAGGCCAATGTGGACCTCTTGAAGTTGATACAGTTGGGTCTCACATTTTCTGATGAGAAAGGGAACCTTCCGACCTGTGGAACCGACAAGCACTGTGTGTGGCAATTCAATTTCCGCGACTTCAACCCCAACGAGGATGTGTATGCTAGTGACTCGATAGAGTTACTGTCCCAGAGCGGTATGGATTTTGTGAAGAACAATGAGAAGGGTGTTGATGCTAGTAAGTTCACCGAGCTACTAATGACATCCGGAGTTGTGCTGTCTGATAATGTGGTTTGGGTGACATTCCATAGTGGGTATGATTTTGGGTACTTGCTCAAGCTGCTTACAGGCCAAAGCCTCCCGAACACGCAGGCGGGGTTCTTTAAAATGATCAAGATGTATTTTCCTACAGTTTATGATATCAAGCATCTGATGAGGTTCTGCAACAGCCTTCATGGTGGGTTGAACAAACTCGCGGAGCTGTTAGATGTTGAGAGAATTGGCATCTCCCACCAAGCTGGTTCGGATAGTTTGCTAACATGCAGTACGTTCATGAAACTGAAAGAGACCTACTTTGATGGGTCTCCTGACAAATATGCTGGTGTTTTATATGGTCTTGGTGTTGAGAATGGACCTAGTTCTCCTTGAAAAGAAAAAGTAATATCAATAAAAATAAAAAAGATTTGGTAGACTACATCTCGGTGCCTGTTTCTATCTCTTTCCATGCTCATCTTTTATCGTTTTACTTCTTCTTCCTCTTCAAGATGTTCATTGCCGTGCGTAGGTTTGCACATTATGCCTCTGTTTTCCTCAATATCTTCCCTTCAACTCTACAATCCCTTTTTGTGTGATGAAAACGAAGACGATTGGTACTTTTAGTGCTCATGAACCTTGTTTTCGCGACTCTTTTCCCCTTTCTTTCGAGTTGTTTTTAAGAATCAGATGAAGCCCTGCACTATTATGTTCTGTGGTTTCTGCAATTCGCTTCATGGGTCTCTTGCAACCTCAAAACATGAGATTCTTTCAGGTCATTTGATTTTCCTTGACCAGAACAGGCGAGCGTCCGGCGGTATGCTCGCCTAGTACTTGTGTGAGACATCTCTCTTAGAACTCTATACACAGAGCTGGTTGCCTTGTTTTGTGTTTATGATTTCGTCGAAGCGTTGTATGTTACAGTTCCACACATCACCTTGGTCCGTTATGTTTTTTGCACGGATTGTTTGTCCGGGTCAGAAAACGTATTATATCTCCGGTCGGAGAACATATATTAGACAGAACTTGTATTGTTAGGTCTAAGAGCACACAGTTCAGAGAGAAGACTTTAAGGTTGTTTGAAAACATTAAACAAAATACCAATGGTCTTAATCAAGTAAAAGCATTACACTAGTTTCCACTGTAAATGCCAAGCTCGTGGCTGCACGTTTTGAGCAGTCCTCAGCGGGGAAGAGTAGTAATGGGGTTCGAGCTCCTTCAGGCTACCAGCTGCCTCCTCCCCGATTCTAGCCAACATGCGGGAAGTGTTCTTGGCTTGCTGGTTGAATTCCACAATTCTTTTCTCTACGTGGTCATCGAGGGAGGCAAACCCTGAAAATATTGCCGTCTGTTTCAACTCCGAGACTTAAGTAGAGAATCGGCTGCCTGGACCTGTGGTCATAGATTTATATGTAAACAACCAAAGAACTCAGACAGAAATCAACTGGGAAACATAAACACGTCAAAGACAGAGTCTTGGAAATCAAGTTTGCATTACCCCAGAGTTCAACTGACAAGGCCGGACAGAGTGTAAACCGAATTTCCATCACAAACACGATCCTAACTCATTAACCAAGACGAAGAGCAACCATTCCGTTTGTCAATCTATAAGGAAATTGATTTATAAAACAGAGAATGTGTGTCGAGTTTGTGCTCCGTCATGCTTGAGCGAGCGACCCAAATAAGCATGAAAATGAAACATCTTTCGGGTGGAGAACAACCAAAGAACTCAAAGACAGAAATCGACTGGGAAACATAAACATGTCAAAGACAGAGTCTTGGAAAACAAGCTTGCATTACCCTAAAGTTCGACTGACAAGGCTGGACAAAGTGTAAACCGAATTTCCATCACAAACATGATCCTAACTCATTAACCAAGACGAAGAGCAACCTTTCCATTTGTCAATCTGTAAGGAAATTGATTTATAAAACAAAGAATGTGTGTCGAGTTTGTGCTCCGTCATGCTTGAGTGAGCGACCCAAATAATGAAAATGAAACATCTTTCGGGTGGAGAACAACCGGCGGTTCCCCCATAAGGCCGGTGAACGCAGTTTGTCCTCCCCCTACATGTTCCTATACAGGAATTTATACAATGTTCATTGTGCAGGAATTTATACAATGTTCATTGTGCCGGGAATTAAATTTTCTGGATCCGCCACTTCTGAACAATGAATACATTGAATAGCAGCCGATAGTAAATCGGGTTTAGCATTGCAAACGAAACAACACATTCAGATTCCAAGTTGTAAATTAATCTATGAGCACACGATTAAGAGGTAACTAAAAGTGATTAGCTGAACAATTATGGTAATTGAATTGTAAGCAGAGAGGAAGGGAAGGTAAAGGATTCACCATTCGAGCAGCACGCATCTCCATCATGAAAGCTTCCTGAGAGTTTCTGATAGGAGGATCATTCACCTGCAATTACACACCCCCAAACCAAAATTACAAATTCTTAGAAATTATGATTTCAAAATTCAATTGTGAGAGAGAGAGGGAGACAGATGCACTCTGGAGACGTTGACGAGGTGGCTGAAATTGTCGACGATGTTGGCGATGTCGGTCTCCACTCTCTGCAGCAGTGCCTTCTGCTTCTGAGCTGCCGCCACCGCAGCAGCCGCGGTCGGCCCGCTCCCCGCGCCTCCCAAACCTCCTCCTCCTGATGTTGCACCTCCGCCCTTGTTCATATTCTTCTGAATGCTCATCATGGGTCCCATACGGAAGTGAGTTTTTCACTTCTCATAGGAAAGTTGATTTTTTTTTGTAATTAATTAATTTATTTATTTATTTTTGTAAACTAGGAAAGTTGAATGCTTTGCCATCGAAATTTGGGATTTTTTGGGTTGAAAATGAGAAATTGTTAATTGTGACGAGAATATAAGTGGTACATCACGTGTTTTTATACAAGTGATGAAAAATTTTATTTTTTAATTTATTAACATTTTAGCACACATATTCTACTATTGGTATAGTGACACGTGATGTACCACCTCGTGTTCCAGTTACACTGAAAAATCTCTCGTAAAAAAGACTCCAGATTTTATGTTGTTTAGGAGAAGAGATTTCTCAATGTAATTGAAACACAGGATGGTACATTATATGTCGCTATACCAATGGTGAAATATGTGTAATAAACAGTTAATAACTTAAAAAAATACAATTTCTCATCACTTATATAAAAATACATAATGTATCACTCATGTTCCCGTCACAATAAAAAAGTTCTTTTTTAGGAGAAACAAGAGGCCTGCTTCATATGCCACTTTGTCTTTGTCTCCCCCTTTTTTATTTATGGGAACATGATCCTTGCTGAGGATGGGGACCGGAGCCTGCTAAGCAACCCATCTGAGCCCTTGAAATTTGATCCAACAGCTGTAATTATTATAACTTTTAAAGGCCCCCTATTTATAGCCGTTTGATTAAATTTCAAGGGTCCAGATGGGCTGCTCAACAGGCTCCGGTCCCCATGCTCAAGAGGGGATCCGGTTCCTAATTTATGTACCATAAATGGCAGATATAAGAACTTGATATATAGACACAGTTGCTTCAATCACACTAATACAATCACACAAAAACTCAAAACTGGATGGTCAAGACAAAATTGAAATTACACCATTAAACTGGGGGCATTTTCAAAAGTACATTGTGCTTATGAACAATGTTTCAGTTGATTTTCAGTTTTAGTATATATTAAAAAATTTCATATTGCCGGGAACATGGTCCGATATTACATTTTGGTGTTTCCGACAGTTTGGTTAAGGGTCTGCTCTTGTAGGAAGCTTGATTTTTTATCAAAAAATACTTAAAATGCTTTATGAATTATGAACAAATGTTTGAAAGTGTTTATAAAAAATATATAATGAGTACCTCATTAGAGAACGATTCTACAATCCATAAATGTTTTTAAGTTTCTCTACTATTATGTAGTAGAAAACGAATTTGACATAAAGAAACACTATATTTCACATCTTTCTCTCTAAACGAGATCTCAAATCCAGTAAAGGTTTCATTCCATTGTTGACAAACGTTTTTAAGGTTTTTAGCCCTTCCGGGATAACGATGGTATTGGTAATTGTTTCTCCTTTGCAATTAGGTAAATTTTAAAGAAAACTAACAAAAAATTCAAAAAAAACCTTAATTTTAATGAAAAATGACAAATAAGGTGCATTAAATAGTACCAGAAAAAGATAAAAGCGTAGTTTTTCGTTAAAAGTGAACAATACCGGAAGTTTTTCGTTAAAACTCCCTTTTTAAGTAAGGACCCGGCCACACGACATAACCAACTAACATAACCCAAATTTACAACGGAGTATGTCTCAAAGCCTCACGAGGGGATAAAATGAGGCTTCTTTTAAGCACAAGCCTGTCGTTCTTTCGAGTTTCTATAAACAACATAATCTTCAGTAATTAAGTGTTGTTCATTTTTCTACTTCTCTCCTTGTCAAGATAAAACCACACTTACCAAATTGTAGCTACTTTCAAATCATCATTGTGCCATAGCTTACACAGTGAATTAACCAATGTGTGAATCCGAATTCCCGCAAGTTTAGAGGTGCGAATTTCATTAGCTCGACAATCCATCTGTAAGTCCCCGCCTTCTTCGTTGGATTACAGAGAAGCGCTGGGAAAACTAACAATGAGATGACCGTGCCACGAACATCAACCTAACCTTGCTTCTCTTCGTAGTACCTTGCAGAGGAAAGAAAATCGACAAGATTATAATACCAAGACAAATGAAACATCATGGCGGAAAACAAAAGATAGTCACCTCTTCGGCAAATTTTATCAAGATGGTTGTTCGAGGTCGTTGCTGTCCCTCCACTGGTACAAAATGAGCTGTTACCACAGCTGGAAAACCAGCGCCGTCCAAAACACCCTTCATTGGGAAACGAAAGGCCAATCAGACAATAGAAGCACCGGATGTTTCAATTAACAAGCAAGAAAGTGTCGTCGCACTTACCCTTACAATTCCGGCAACAAATGCTCCACAATTAAAGGTTCCCATGTCTTTTGGAATCGAAATAAAACTACAATTCAAAAATGGTGTATTAGTTGGTCATCAACCAAACCTGACGGATCCAGCTAATTGAAACAGTAGTAGAAGTAAACTCATTAATGCAGAAACTGTTACCGGTTCACAAGGAGCTCCTTCTCACTAATCATGTACTCATCTTCATGTTCAGTGCCTTTCTCAAGGGAATCAGCTACCTAATTTTCAGGCACCGAGAAGCAGTTAACATAGTTCCTAATTTAAGTACATTGTGCTCTATTCAGCCATAAAGCCCTAAACATGCAAAACGATAAAGAAGCCAAAGCAAAAGCACTCACCTTTCCAAATAACACCTTCCAAACAGTGCTATGCACAAAAGACAGGATTCCCAACAACCGCGTCTCCCTTCTGTTTCCCTGTGGCATCAAAGAACCATTAATATAGCAGTAAGCATCCATGCAGTCTCACTCACTACAGCCGGAGATAGATACAAACCCATCAGCACGTATAACTTGTTATGAATTTGGACCATTAGGATAACATTTTATCAAAATTCCAATATAATGAGCACAGTGCATTGTTATGTGTAATTTCTTCTGCCTAGGGATTAGTTTATAACCACAACTAAAAACATATGTTGTATAAGTTCGGTTTGCAACTATGTTGTAACAATGTAGTTAACACTCAAAGAATCAATTGTTTACAAAGACTAAAACTACATATTCAGTAATCGTTAGCTCCTCACACTTGCCAACTTATAGATAGAGAATGTGTTATAAACCAAAGATACTGATATCTGTTTTTTACTTCTCACTTACTGCCAAATGAAGCAACGGTTTCTGAATATCGTGATTACAAAAATAATAGTTAGGGATATTCCTGCTCAACAACAAGTCATACCTTTTCCCGATGGCAAAGAAGCTCCAGAACTCGAGCCCCTACAGCATATCCTGCATCCTCCAGCCTGCTCCAGTTTACATAAAATATTATTGAAACTTTGGTTTCTAACACTCACATATTAGAATTTCAATATAAGTCAATGGAGAGCTGAAAGGAAAGAAATTGTATTTGCTAATAGAATTATTCTGCCACAACGCCTCAAGACCCTTTTTTTTGGTTCTAACTCGCTTCAATTTTCCAAACCACCTCTGATTTTGCTAGGTTGCAGAAGAAACTCACAATATCAAGCAAACAAACGATCCTAGGTGATAACGTTTTATCATTCACTTACCGCCTAAAGTTGCACACCAGCTAACCTAAGTGAGCTCACAAGTTCATTTTCGGACGAAAGAGTAAACTGTCCTTATAACATATCAAATAACCATTTCTATTCATATTGTACTACGATTTCACCTTTTCCTTAGGAAACAAATTTGAATGCGCATGATGAGCACTTAACAACGTAATCGAAATGGTAGTAATTTCAATCACCTTCGTTCTAACTCAGCTATGTTGTCAACCTGCGTCTGGTTGTACTGCACAAGCTCCGAAAACAAGAACGCAAACGCACTCAAACTGACCTGAAAAAAACATCAAATGCCAAAATCAGCAAAAAACCACAAACCCAAGTAAGTGAACAACCTGAATCAAATTGCCCATATCACAATTAACGCAGAATTCAACAAACGAAAACGATCCATGTGCTCAGAACTCGGATTCGAGGTCAATCGAGCATAAATTTGCAGCATAACAGTTCGAAATGCACGAAATTTAAAAACTTTATTAGAGATTGCAATTCTAATTCCCCCAAATCACAGAACCCAACACCCAGAAATCCAATAAAATGTTGCCATATGTTGAAGATTGAGGTAATCCGATCAAACATATAGCATAAACTAGAGAGAGAGAGAGAGAGAGGACCTCTTGTTTGCCCTTGCTGAGGGGCTTGTCGAGGACATTGGAGTACTGCTTGATCTTCCCTGCTCCAATCATTCTTCCCCAACTCTTTTTTTTTCCTCTGGATTTGAAGAAATTCGAAGAAGCAGAGTTGGTGGTGTTGTGGATCGGATTTTCGGAAGCACAACTTCTACAGAACACTCGCTACTCCTGTGTATTCTATCGACTCGCTCCTTTATTTGTGCCGGTCTCGACCGGCAGCTTTCAAGTATCCGAATAAATAATTTTCACGCACATTATTTTACTTTATTATACATCTCTTATGGTCATCGGATTGAATAAATTAAACGGAATCAATGATGTTTAAGAAGTTAATAAATATGTAAAAATAACTTTCTTGTTTTTAATTTTTTTGGAAAATTATATGATAAATATTCTTTCAAAAGCTCAAAACAAGTAACACTAAATTGCATCGATCCTACACCGTCCAGTGTCTAGGCCATTTTAGATCAATGATAACATGTCTACTTAGGGGGCGTTTGTTTGCCCTCACTAAACCTCGTTGGGCTAGACTGGCTTAATTGGGATTGCTAAGCCGTGTTTGGTGTGAAGAAGGACTACCGTTAATGAGACTAAGTCGGATTCGTCCCGACTAAGTCGGATTCGTCCCGACTAAGTCCTTCACTAGGTAGTCTTGGCGAGTCCCCCCGAAATGTATGGGATTGTTAGTCACGTCTCCAAATCTGCTTCCTTTTTACACTGCATCGTCTGTACGCTGCTTCGTCTCCGTTTACCCACCCCCAAAGCAGCTTCTCCCACTACCAAAATCTCAAAATCAAACCACCAAAATTCAAAAAAAAAATGCAAAACAATAACAACAATGGGAGAAGC